CTGTAGAATCCTTCATGCACTTCACCGAATAACTGCGTCTTGCCACTAGTACGCATGAAAGTAGCGTCGACAGCCCATTCAGCGAAATCTGTCGGTGTCGTTCCCTTAAATGCGATAACTATAAAGTTATGTTTCTCCGAATAGAATGCACCACAAAATGGACTCGTCTCGGTTCCTAATTCAGACAGTTTATAGAATCTTAAACCCCACTTGTTGGCTTTCCTAAGGATGTATAGAATACTGTGATCCCTTTTCTTTTTCTCTCCGTCTTCCACTTTATACTCGTTCTCCTCTTCCTGGATCTCATTCGGGGTCTGATCTCTCCCTGAATTCACGATCTCAATATTGTTGTCGTCTGCCTCAAGTGCGACCATATCCTCCATATCCTCCTCGCTCTTGTCCTCGATACAGTCTATATGCTCTCGTTCATACATGAGAGCCGAGAGCATTAACAGGAGCTCGGCAACGTCTATGCTGAAAGATGGTTTTTTGTAACAAGGGTCTGCGTAGTCTTCGTAATGGGTTATCTTCGTGACTGCGTCTACTTTGAGTCCTAATAGTTTGTTGTCGAGATAGATGCCAGCCTGTTCAACAAGTGGTCTTCTGTCATCGTCAAAAATCTTTGAATGTACTAATGAATATGGAGGTTTAATCCGACATATACGTAAGCACCGCGAGTGAAGGAGAGAATAATACACCCATTGACGATTACACTTAAGCAATACGATCGGCTCTTGTTTGCGATATAAATTTTATTACCTTTCTGTTGTTTTCGCTTGAAGCGACTCCCCAGTCGAAACGCTACGGAAACAACGACCATGATTCCAGATGATACTGGATACACCACTAGAGTCGTCAATGATCCAATAGGATGACGAATAATTTGCGACCAGTCGAACAGGAAAGTGAGAACAAGCGTTTTTGCGGTATGGGCAATGTATTTGAGAAGTGGTAAGGTGAAGTCCTCCCTGTTCGAACAACGAGGCTTTGAAGTTTTTTTAGTGGATGGCGCTGATGATGATGATACAGATCTGGCAGCCGTGGTGGTGATCGGCTCAGAGTCAGAGTCGGAAGTAGAGCTCTCATCTGTGACAATTTTCTTTTTTTGACTATATGGCAAGAGATAGAAACATCAAACGCGCGAAATTTGAATATTAGTGAGAGCACGGTCGTGACAATAGCGTTATGATCACTTACGTCACATCCAACAGATCTCCATTTAACAGATTAGATGTTGGTTTGTCCATGATGAATACAGAATGTTGCTTTATCGTGAATACCGATACCTGACATGGACTCTCCACCTTTATTTATATAATACTTCTGATCTCATGGTTTTTCTTCTCCATCCAATGTCGAAACTAGTCTTTCTTGCGGCACGACAATCTCCGCTTTCTCTCATTCCCGTTGAAGATTTTTTTTTGTACAGTGTTTGTCACAAAAATCAATTACCGTTGCATTACCCATTTACAGTAATATCTTGTAAAGATATGACGGCAAGCGATGTATACGGTATGTATGACGCGACCCGAAATTGATAAGACTGTCGCCTGCAGATTGCTCTCGGTTATCAGCCAAAATTCCTCTGGAATTGTTGTGGACATAATATTGAGTAAAAACGAGATTTGAACTTTTATCATAGAACAGACAATGGATAGAAATAAGCATAAACGTGGCGCTGTTCATAGTTTTCCGAGAGAGAAAGTAATACGCTCTTACATGCGAGTCTGATGAAATGAAGTCGCAAATTCTATGTTGTTTGATCACAAACCTGGTCGGTCGGGTACGTTTTATGAGTAGCACAATGACTATTGTATTGCCTTGACTAAAAAAAGTCACGGCCGTCATATGTAAGTCATGGTGAGACAACCATATTGCTCTTCTGCCTGCGTCTAAATTTGGGTTTCCGACGCACGATTTTTAAGGCTTAAAAAATTATTTTCCAGAATTCTCGGGTTGTCACGCGGGCTTTGATGTTCATGTGAGCACGACGTTTGTGAATAAACTAACTACTAATGTCACC